TAGGGGATGGTATATAAAGCAGGCAGCTACCTCCAGCTGTGCTCTTAAACAGACTGTCCCATCTCATGAGACATTGCAGCACGATTGTAGCACACTAAAGGTAAATCTAGAAATAGACATGACCTTTTTTAGGTAGACATCAGGAGAGTGGTGTGGCCTGGTGTAACCGAATAGGAACTATGTTTTTTAACCTTCCAGCACACAGGAGTGTCTGAAGAACGTAAGTGGGAGGAGGAAAGTCTACAGAAGACATGGTTACAGATTTCAAGGTTTAAGAGAGAAAGTTAACACCAGACCAAGAGCAGGCATTTCTGTGCTCTGAGTCGAATTATTTTCAGGCTTGATGTTGTTCGATGAGATAAAAAGATCTTCTATTTGAAAAGGTGAAGTTGCAACAGTAAAAGAGCACAGCCATGATTAATGTCCCTCCTCTCTCGTTAGAGGGCTTTGTCTATTTCAGGAATCTTTATAATGCAACCAGACATGCTCCACAGGTTGGTATTTTCACTCTAGAGTAGCTTATCTCCCCATACAGACTGAAATAAAGGCACTGAAAGCAGTATCATTATTCTAAACAGAATGAATATTTAAACACTAATTCCACTTTGCATTCTCCTTTATTAACGTTCACCTGTGGTGAACGCCTGCCTTGATGGCTGTTACCCAGCAAGCCTGACACCATCACTACAGCAGCTTTTATAAATCTGAGTGGGGAGAGAGCAAAAGTCACATTACTGGAAGCTGGCATAGGTAGAACAAATAGCTGTAGGATTTTGATTCTAAGATATTTTATATTTAATGTATATTTTAATATAACTACAAACATATTATTACTTTAAATGCCATAGTAGCCCCATTAAAAGATATTTCATAAATCTGGGTATAGAAATACTTAAATGAAGGATTAAATGCTGAAGAATTGTGCTGTACACCAGAAATCGACACAACATTGTAAACTGACTATAACTCAATTTTTTTAAAAAAAGGATTAAATGCATAATTATATCTGTTAATTCCACTCTTTAGAATATTGATGGTAGTCATATATATGTAAACATTTTTCCTTAAAGGAAATTTTTTGAGTGTTTAGAAATCTAATTTTTCTTCCTTGAATATTTGCTTTGCTGTTTCTCCAAAAATAGCTTGTTTATTATGTTTATAAAATTACATCAGATGCATTAACTACTTCCTGAGCTTCCCAGTGACTAATTGAGCCCAGACAGAGTGTTTGCAATTCCAGACCTTTCTCCATTTTCGGATAAAAATTTTCAGGTTCAGGTCACCTGAAGGTTTATGACATTTTTGGAATGGTAACACCATATTCAATACCAGTGGCCGGTTTACAGTAATGACTAGCCAGTAAACAGAAGCCTAGACCCAGTGTGTTGTATGTGTTACTGTGCAGTGTGAAGGTGGAAATGCGTCTTAGAACACTGCCACAAAATTGAGAGCAAAGGAGCCAGCCAGGAAATAGAAAGAGACAAACATCAGTAAATGTAATACATGTTGCTGTCTTTAGATGCTGAGCGTTTAGTATTCATCCAGGAGTCTCCTTTGCTGTTTGGCTTACCAGGGTGTTTCCAAAGACTAGCATTTCAGCTGCGTTCTTGTCTCTTATGTAATCCCTTAGGCGTTGTCAGAGGAGATAGCTAATGGAAAATGATACTTGCTATAGATGTGAAGAGGTTTACCTTAAGTTTCCTTTAGACAAAGCATTTTTATGAGGTGGAGGGGACTGTATGTTATGCTTCATACCCCATTCATAAAAATATGGTAGAAGGTTGTAACTAGACCTCTGTTCTTGGAAATCCAACCTTGACATCTTTTGAAATATTCTTTACCACTGTAACTGTATCTGCATACCCCAAGTACTTTACATGAAGTTTTAAAAGCAAACAACAGCCTCTTCCTACCTTCTTTTTTTCTCTTTATTTTCTGTAACTTGTCTGTTAACCTCTTGCATGGTTGGGATACCATGTTTTCACTCAGGACTATTAGAATTCTTTCTTTTTCTTTTCAGAATCATTTCAGTTCTTCCTTTTTCCTTTCTCTCTCCCCCTTTTTGCTGTCCCCTAATTTTTGGTAAAGCAAAAAAAGTTTAAACTACTCAGCTGCTTGAACAGCTCACTCTATTGTTGCAGAATCACTCTCTTTGTTCTTTCTTCTTTGTCCAGTTTTACACCTTCTCCCTTTAAAACCATTCCACCACCTCTTCATCTTGGAGCATCTCTATCCCTTGTCTTGCTGCCTTCATTCATTCAGAAGACCTTTTATGCAAACAGTGTGCTAATGACTATGCCGAGCATTAGGTATACCAAAAAACAGTACCTAGTTTTTGTTCTCATAAATCTCACAAGTCTAGGGGCCAGCTGTTAACTCCTCCCTGCTCTCAGATTGCTGCATTCCCCTAGTCTTGTTTATATGTGTTTTCTTTGCAAGGATTTACCTATACTTTTTACTAGCAAACCCTCTAGTGCTTTTTTAAAAAGATTTCAAAATTTTGTCTGCTGTAGATACTTTTCACTCATATCCCATTCAAGTGGCTCAGCCACGGCCTTCCCCCAACATCCTGTAAGTGTTGATGTCCTAAAGACAGCATGCGATTCATGAATGTTGGATACCATTGCATCCTTCTCTTTGTCCCTGTGGCCTCTGCAAGATGCTAATAAGTACACAAATTATTTCCTAATAATTATGGTAATCTAAATTATATATTGCTTTACTTGTCTTTTGTTTTTTTTTCCCCCCAGCATAAAAACTAGGACTCAATGTGAGATGCACCCCTTTTGTTAAACTTAAAAATTCAACTGACTC